AACTTAGCATACAACTGACTATCCCTCAGAGTCTGAAGAACCACTCTAAGGTGCTGCTCGTGCTCCTCCCGACTGCGGGAATATATCAAAATATCATTAATGAAGACTATCACGAATGAATCCAGATAGGGCCTGAACACTCGGTTCATCAAATCCATAAAAGCTGCTGGGGCATTTGTCAACCCGAATGACATCACCAAGAACTCAGAATGCCCGTACCGAGTGCGGAAAGCTGTCTTAGGGACATCGGATGCCCTAATCCTCAACTAATGGTAGCCAGATCTCAGGTCAATCTTTGAAAATACCTTGGCACCCTGAAGCTGATCGAACAAATCATCAATCCTCGGCAGCGGATACTTATTCTTGATTGTAACCTTGTTCAATTGCCGGTAGTCAATACACATTCTCATTGAACCATCCTTCTTCTTAACAAATAACGCCGGCGCACCCCAAGGCGAAACACTGGGTCTAATGAAACCCTTCTCAAGCAAGTCTTGCAACTACTCCTTTAACTCTTTCAACTCAGGCGGGGCCATGCGATACGGCGGGATAGAAATGGGCTGAGTGTCCGGAGCCAAATCAATGCAAAAGTCAATATCCCTGTCGGGTGGCATACCCGGCAGGTCTGAAGGAAATACCTCAGGAAACTCCCGAACAACGGGCAGAGAATCAATGGAAAGGACCTCAGCACTAGAATCGCGAACGTAAGCCAAATAGGCCAAACACCCCTTCTCGACCATGCGCCGAGCCTTCACATAAGAGATAACACTACGGGTGGAATGACCAGGAGTCCTTCTCCACTCCAAACGAGGCAAACCCGGTAAGGCTAAGGTCACAGTCTTGGCATGACAGTCCAAGATAGCGTGGTAAGGTGATAACCAGTCCATCCCCAATATAACATCGAAATCAACCATGTCCAAAAGAAGCAAATCTACACGAGTCTCAAGACCCCCAATCACAACTATGCATGCACGATGGACTCTATCTACCACAATAGAATCACCCACCGGTGTAGACACATAAATAGGAGCACTCAAGGGATCACTAGGCAGGTTCAGATACGGTGCAAAATAAGACGACACATACGAGTATGTAGACCCTGGATCAAATAACACTGAAGCATCTTTGTCACAAACCAGAATGGTACCTGTAATAACTGCATCGAAAGCCTCAGCCTCGGGCCTGGCTGGAAGAGCATAACATCGAGGCTGGGCCCCACCACCCTGAACTATCTCTGGGACGGTCTGCCGCTAGCTGGCCTCCACCTCTAGCGACCTGAGCTCCACCTCTAGGACCTCTACCTCCACCTCTAGCACCTCTACCCCCACCTCTAGCTGGCTGGGCGGGCTGTGGAACACCTGGTGCCTGAACCATGGTACGGGAACCCTGATGTTGAGAGCTACTCGGTGCTCGAGGGAAAAACCTAGCAATGTGACCCGTATCATCACAAGTGTAACAAGCTCTTGGCTGCTGAGACTGCTGATCTCGACAACCTAAATGACCACCCCGAAAGCTCTGAAGCGGCGTTGCACTGATGGGAGCTGGTGGTGCACTGTAGGACTGCTGATCAGAATGATGTATCTGAGGACCACGGCCACCTGAAGCACCGTGAGAAACCTGAAGTACCGACTGAAAAGGCCTAGGAGGATGGCCCCTACCATACAAATCTCTGCCTCCAGACGAGGCACCACTAAATCTGCCTGAATGACGGGGCCTCTTGTCCGACCTATGACCACCCCCCTGTGAGAGAACCATCTCCACTCTCCTGGCCACATTGGCCGCCTCCTGGAAGGATATCTCACTCCCAGTCTTTCTAGCCATCTGGAGACGAATCGGCTGAATGAGTCCATCAATGAACCGTCTCACTCTCTCCCTCTCAGTGGGAAGTATAATAAGAGCATGGTGAGCCAAATCAATGAATCCGATCTCGTATTGGGTGACAATCATGGAACCCTACTGGAGGCGCTCGAACTGCCTCTGATAGGCCTCTCACTGAGTGATAGGGAGAAACTTCTCCAGAAATAGCTGCGCGAACTGCTCCCAAGTCAAAGCTGGTGATCCGGCCGGTCTAGCCAAGCAATAATCTCTCCACCAAGTCTTGGCGGATCCAGACAAGCAAAAAGTGGCAAAATCGACCCCATTGGTCTCAACTATCCCCATGTTCCTGAAACCTCATGACAGCTGTCTAGATAATCCTGGGGATCCTCAGTAGATGCACCGCTGAATGTAGTAGTGAAGAGCTTGGTGAACCTATCCAATCTCCACAAAGCATCGGCAGATATAGCTGCTCCATCACCGGCCTGGGCTACCACACCCGGCTGAGCTGCTCCAACTGGCTGAACTGCTGGAGTCTGAAACTGGGGAGCTACCTGCTCCGAAGTGCGAGTAGCAGGAGTCTGGGCTCCTCCTCCAGCCTGAGAGACAGCTGGTGCTACAAGAAGCAAGCCTACCCGGGTGACACCCTCCATAAGGCCCACTAGACGGACCAGAGCATCCTGAAGAACTGGGGTGGGAATAAACCCCTCTGGGACCTGAGTTGGGTCCACCGGAGCGGCTGGGGCCGGAACCTCATCATCAAAATCAACCCAAGGCTCCGCTGCTGGTGCTGCTGCTCTGGGCTGAGCTCTACCCCTACCTCGGCCTCTAGCACGACCTCGGCCTCTGCCCCTAGTGGGAGCTGCTGCTGGGGGCTCAGGCTGCTGGTCAGCGGATGAGGAAGCGCGTGTTCTCGGCATCTGCGAGAGAACAGAATAGAAATTCAATCAGCATTGAAAACCAAACCGCACGACAGGAGAAAAAAGATGTGAGATTTTCCTAACTCTGTAGCCTCCGGGGATAAATACAGACGTCTCCGTACCGATCCCTAAGACTCTACTAAGCTTGTTAACTGTGAGACCCATGTAACCTAGAGCTCTGATACCAACTTGTCACGACCCGGATTTCCCACCCTCGGGAGTCGTGATGATGCCTACTAATGAGAGCTAGGCAAGCCAATCCTTAACTACTTACTTCATTATCCAATTTCTTCTTTTCAACAAATATAAGGCGATAATATGAAAACAGCGAAACTTTAAATAATTAAGCGGAAGATGGCAATTAAATATCTGAAATCTGCATCTATTACAACTTTTAAAACCTCAACACCCAAAACCGGGTGTCGCAGTGTGACAAACTATCTAAGATTGCTACATACAAAGTCTGAAGAAATAACAGTACACTGTTTCTGAAAAAAAAAGGGAAATGAAACAGGAAATAGAGATAGAGGGAGACGCCAGGGCCTGCAGATGCCTACAAGTCTACCTTGGGTCTCCGGGTGAATTGAAGGAAGCCTCCAACTATTGTCCAAAAGCTGCTCCGAGATCTGCACATAGTGCAGAGTGTAGTATCAGCACAACCGACCTAATGTGCTGGTAAGTGCCTAGCCGAACCTTGGCGAAGTAGTGATGAGGCTAGGACCAGACTACCAAATAAACCTGTGCAGTTCAAATATATATACAACGGGAAAAGAAATACAGAGATAACCAATCAATATGGGAGGGGGAGCATACTGTTGGGGAGATACCAATTCCAAATAGAAAGACATCAAGTAACGAAGGAAACAACATAGCTCGGATATCAATAGAGAATCAAAAATCAATAAATGCACGGCATCACCCTTCGTGCTTTTACTCTCGTCCTCACCAAAGCAATTATATAATAAAAATGTTCACGGCATCACCCTTTGTGCTTTTAATCTCTTTCCTCACCATATAATCAATATAATCGGCACGGAATGGTACATCGTGCGGCTGGGATCACCCTTCGTGCTTTACACTTTTCCTCACAATCATACACGGCATCACCCTTCGTGCTTTACACTCTTTTCTCACAAAACAAACAATACACGGCATCACCCTTCGTGCTTTAACACTCTTCCTCACCCAAACAACGATCATGAACAATGGGGCAAGGGAATAAACAAGAATATAATAGGAATCCCGGCAAGGGAACAACAATTAAACAATTAAAACCCGGCAAGGGAACAACATCAATAATATCAACATCCCGGCAAGGGAGATAACCAAATAAGCATCAATATCCCAGCAAGGGAACAATTTAATGACTCTTTCTCTTTTCCACTTTTACTTCACAACTCACTTACCACTTGAGCCAATGCTCCAAAGGATTCAATCAACTCATATACTTTAACCATTCGTAATATAGCTTGGGCCAATGCTCCTTGATGTTCAAAGGTCACAATTACATTCACAAACTTTTCACAACAAATAGAAATCACCTCTAAAGCATAGATACTACAACCAAGTCATGAAAATCACAATATAAGACTCACGAGCATGCTTGACACCAACGTATAGACACTCGTCACCATGACTATACGTCGTACTCAACAATAATCATGTAGCAAATAGGACTCGACTCCTAATCCCTCAAGCTAAGGTTAGACCAAACACTTAACTCGATGCCACGAACGCAATTCACGTCTCAATTATTGCTTTACCCATTAATTCCACCACCACTTCGCTCGTATCTAGTCACAAGTTACTTAATTACATCAATAAACGCTAAATGAATCAACCCCAATGCATGAAAATGAGTTTTCCAAAGTTTTATCCAAAAGTCAAAAATCGAACCCGGGCCCGCTTGGTCCAAACCCGAAATTCAGACTAAAACCCGATTATCCATTCACCCCCGAGCCCGGATATATAGTTGGTTTTGGAATCCGACCTCAATTTGAGGTCTAACTCCCCAAATTTCAATATTCTTAGGTTTTTCCCAAAATTCCCAATTCCACCATGAAAATCCTAGATTCTAGGATGAAATCTTGTAAAAAGAAGTTAAGAAGTAAAGAAAATGAGTTAGAAATCACTTACCAATGTTTTGGAGAAGAAAGGTTGTTTGGAAAATCGCCTCTTATGTTTTTGGGGTTTCGAAAAATGGAAAATGACTGAAAATCACGTCTATTTTTACCCCTCTCAGACCCCCTGTGCGGACCGCACAAAATGGACTGCGGCCGCACAGCCCTTCCTGAGATACTGCAGTCCAGTGACCCTGTGCAGACCGCACAAAGTCGACTGCGGCCGCACAGCTCTCCGCCGCGCCCCGCACAAAGTCGGCTGCGGACCGCACTGGCTCCTTCCGCGGTCGCACACGATTTCTCGTGGACCGCACTAGCGGGTTCAGAGATCTGAAATTTCGCTGAACCTGCAATAACTGTGTTTTTTAACCTAAGACATCCCGGAACCTACCCGAAACTCACCCGAGCCCTCGGGGCTCCAAACCAAACATACGTACTAACTCAAAATATCATATGACTTATCCGTGCGATCAAATCGCCAAAATAACATCACAAACATCGAATTAAACCTCAAAATCAAGGAAATATTTCAAAACTTCTTAAAACATCAAATTTTGCATTTAAGGTCTGAATCACGTCAAACGGATTCCGTTTCTGACCAAACATCACAGAATTATCTTAAATCATATATATGACATGTACCGGGCGCTGGAACCAAAATACGGGCCCGATACCATCATGTTCTAATCAAATTTCATTTCAAACTCCTTTAAACAATTTCAGAAAATAATTTTCTTTAAAAATTCATTTCTCGGGCTTGGGACCTCGGAATCCGATTCCGGGCATACGCCCAAGTCCCATATTTTCTTACGGACGCTCCGGGACTGTCAAATCTCGGATCCGGATCCGTTTACCTAAAACGTTGACCAAAGTCCAATTTATTCATTTTACAGTCAAAACTTATTATTTTTCATTGATTTTCACATTTAGGCTTTCCGGCTACGGAACCGGACTGCGCTTGCAAATCGAGGAAATGCTAAATGAGATTTTCAAGGCCTCGGAAATACAGAATTCATTTTAAAAAACAAGTGATGACCTTTTTGGTCATCACAATTAACAATCAATTTCCACCAATAATTTGTCAAATTGGGACGATGCAAATGTCTCAAAATCGATTTAAGAAGCAACCAGCAAGTGGGTTTCTTCCAAATTGAAAGAAAAAATTCTAAAGTTCTTGAGGATTTGAAGGAAGGTGGCCATAAGTTCTTTGAGTAACTAGCTGAAGAAAAAATCAAATATTTCTAAGGAGAATGAGGAGACCTGATGAATTGTGCTCTTGTTTTGGAACAGGTATTTTGCCTAATGACCTAAAGCTTATAATTTTTTTCCAATTGAAAGAAAAGGTCGCCAACAATGGAGGAGGAAAAAGTGCTACTAGTAGAAATGATGAAGTGAAAATTAGGGTTTGGGTATTGGGCTTAAATTAGAGACTTCATTAAGGGTATATTCGGAATTATACATACAATTATCGTTTATTACTGTTTGGTATGGGTAGACAACGTGCGTCTCCGAAAGTGCATTACACGCGAGGTGAGCTACTGTATCAGCTGTTTACTTGATCTACTTAATAACCACTTGAAGTGTCAATATGAAAAAGGGCTCAGTTGAGGTGTTTATTTGATCGTCGAGGACAACTTGAAGGGGCTGTTCATGTATTACGCCTACAAAATAATTTAAAACTTTAAAAGCTCCCACCCAAATAAACTACCCACGACCCACCCGAGCCAACCTTTAACTTCCTTTTATAAATGGACTGTCGTAAAGCTCTCATCCCTTCAGTTCCGTACATAAAGATAGCTCATCACTAGCCTAGTTTCAGCATCAAGGTTGGAGAACTTCCTGAGCTAATGGAAACTGTTTAATGTTGAAGCAGCCAATGAATTGTTCAAAGCACAGGTTCACATCTACAAACATGCATTCGCTTATTTTAATTCCATGGCCTTGAATTGTGCCATTCAACTAGGCATACCAGATATTGTACATAACCACAAAAAACCAATCACTCTTCCTGAGCTAGTTTCGGCACTCAAACTTCCCTCATCAAAATCAATTGGCATTCATCGGCTAATGCGCCTGTTGGTGCACTCTGGATTCTTTGCTACAGCAAAGGTCGACGAAATCTCAGAGACAGAAGGATATATTTTGACAACTCCTTCAAGGCTGCTGCTTAAGAGTGAATTTCCAAACTTGTCACCTTGCGTTAGAATAATGATTGATCCTGTCGTTGTCACTCCTTGGCAACTAATGCTTGAATGGTTTCACAATAAGAATGAAGAAGCCACAGCATTTGAGACAGCACATGGGGTACCTATGTGGGAATTTTGTGCACAAAATCCAAGATTCGACAAAGATTTCAACGAAGGAATGGCTAGTGATTCCCAAATGATGAGACTAGTTGTCAAGGATTGTAAGGAAGTATTTGAGGGGATGAACTCATTGGTTGATGTTGGAGGGGGCATTGGGATTATAGCTAAGATAATCTTGGAGGCATTTCCTCACTTAAAATGCACTGTCCTTGATCTTCCTCATGTTGTTGCCAACATGCCACAAAGTGAGAACTTAAGCTATGTTGGAGGGGATATGTTTCAATCTATTCCTCCCGCTGATGCTATCTTCCTTCAAGTTTAACTTTTACATGTGATGATAGTTCACCTAAAAAGATGACTATACATAACTATCAATAATAAAAGTGGAATTAGTAACCTAGAAAATAAATCGGGTTAAATACACAATCGTGCAGGACATGTAAGTTTAATCCTATATAGATAGTCAAGAACAATTTGTTCAGCTTTTAGAGCTTGAGAATCTTTTCTCCAATTAGTATACTCTATCCGTGGCACAACCTTCTAACTACAAATTTTTCGAGTTAATTCCTAGATGATCATCCAAGTTATAGAAATAAATTATCAAAGTCATTTTTATTTTGTTAGGACAATAAAGTTATTTAAATTTTAGTTTTGTCTCTTAGAAAATAATTCTAGTTAGAAAAGCTTATTTCTCTCATCAGATTATTACATGGCGGTTATGTCAGATTACTATTCTAATTTTTCTAACACGAAAATTAACGAAATCGACCATGCTCTTCACTCCACAGAGCCTGCTGCTTCAACCCTTGGATATATTGATCATAAATTTTGAAATGGAGATTAAAACAACATCACTGACAAACAGAAAGCTACTTCACTTGCTACCTTACCAAGAAATAACATATCGGAGCAATACAAAATAAGTAGGTGGATTAATCAATGTCTTAACCCAGAAGAATAATCAATCAAATTTTTCAATATAACATAAATTCAAAACTAGAAGTCCACACAAAAATGATTTCTACATAGAAAGGGGAAGAAGGAACGAAGGGGGAGGCAAGGGGAAGACGTCTGTACCAAAACTTGAACAAGTTTTGATTTGTTTCCATTTATTTTAAAATAGACCCATTTTGCTTCGGGTCAGGATAAATGGGTCTTTTGATTTACAGCTTGTTTGGATGGTGGTTACATATTGTTTTGTAATGATTGTATTGTATCGTTTGATGAATACAATGTTTGGATAGATCGTATTGTTTGTCGTTATTTCATGATATCACATACCAACAATATAAAGAATAAACTTGTAATATTATAAAGAAAAAGTACGATACAAGGTAAAATTATTATTATATATATAAAAAGGTAGGATAAATGATAAAATAAAATTATTTAATAATAATGTAGGGTGAGATGAGAGAAAATATGATTTTCTGGCTATAGTTACTTTCTAAGAGACAAAGCTAAAGTTAGATAATTTTATTGTCCTAAATAAAACAAACATAACTTCACCGAGTTATTTCCATAACTTGGATTACTATCCAAGAAATTAACTCCAAATCTCACATGGACTCAACATTTCAGATTCCGATTGTATTAGTACTTATTAATTAAATCAAGATTCGTTACGATGATGTCACATAGTAATTATAAATTGCTTTTGCAGAATATATTGCATAGCTCGAGTGATGAGGATTGTGTCAAGGTGCTGAAGAAATACAGAGAAGCAATTGCAGAAGATGTTGAAGAGGGGAGAAAAGGGAAGAAGGTCCCTATCATTGACATAGTATTAGACACAAACGAAGATGAACCAGACATGACTCAAGTAAAGCTCATGAAAGACATGTTGATGGTAATGTTTTTCACTGGAGAATTGAGAGGTATGGGTTCATGTGATAGCACTGTAATTTCCTTTGACTACTTATATATACCTGGTGAAACTATTCCCATGACACCACTTTGGTTTGTTGGTGACTGTAACCTTCTGATATTCTAGGTTAAGGGTTCGAGTTTTGCCCCCTAGTTTTATCTCCTTTCTCTTTTCCATATTTTGTCTTCTCTTTTTCTGTTTCTTGGCTTTCTATTTGTTCTCTGTTTTGGTTCCATTTTGTAGTTCTTTTTCTATTGTTTTGTCTTTTCTTTCTTTTATGTTTATTCTTCTTTTCCTTTTTCTTTTCTTTTTTGGTTCATTCTTCAGTTTTTAAATCCCTAGAAAATCATAATTCGTATCTTCTCCTTACCCCGCCTTTTGTCCCAACATTTTTATGTAACGATCCGGTCGGTCGTTTCAAGAGTTATAGCTCTGTTTCTCCCATTTTCTGCTTCTTTTATGTTCTACAGCTATATTATGATATACCGGGTTAGTTGGTTCGGGTCCGGAGTGGTTTCGGAGTGAATTGAGACACGTAGTCTCTTAATTGAAAGCTTAAGTTGGAAAAGTTGACTGGATGTTGACTTATGTGTAAACGACCTCGGATTTGAATTTTGATGGTTCTGTTAGCTCCCTTAAATGGTTTCGGACATAAGAGCATGTCCGAAATGTGATTTGGAGGTCTGTAGTAGGGTTAGGCTTGAATTGGCGAAAGTTAGAATTTTGGCGATTTTGGCCGGCAATGGAATTTAAATATCGGGGTCGGATTGGATTTTCGGAGGTTGAAGTAGGTTCGTGGTGTCATTTCTGACTTGTGTGCAAAATTTGAGGTCATTCAGACGTGATTTGGTAGGTTTAGGCATTGTTTGTGGAATTCGGAAGTTTAGAAGTTCTTTAGGCTTGAATCCGGGTGTAATTTGGTGTTTTGATGTTGTTTTGAGTGATCCGAAGGTCCGACTAAGTTCGTATCGGGTTATAGGACCTTTTGGTATATTTGGTTGTGGTCCGGAGGGCCTCGGGGTGACTTCGGGTGGTTGACGGCTTGATTTTAGAGTTGAAAGAGCAGCTGAAGTGCTATTGTTGCTGGTGTAATCGCACCTGGGGAGTGGAAACCGCATGTGCGTGTCCGCAGAAGCGATGGAGGTGCCGCAGATGCTGCCAAGAAGAAGTTGGGCAAGATCCGCAGGTGCGAAGATTTTCCCGTACCTACAAGAGTCGTAGATGCAGGTAGCTGGGCGTAAGTGCGAGAGGGAACCGCAGGTGTGATGGATTTCCGCACCTTTGATAGGCGCAGATGCGATCGTGGGGACGCAGGAGCGGAGTCTTGGATTTTAATTGAAATCCGCACCTGCGATGGATTTTGGCAGGTGTAGTGTCGCAGAAGCGTTAAAGGGGCCACAGGTGCGGAATTCCTGGGCAAAAAAACCTCAGATCGACTTTTGGACTTTCATTTTCGATTTTTGACTTGAGAAGTTCGGGAGAGAGATGAGTTTTTGAAGATTTCAAGCAGAACGTTGGGGTAAGTGATTCTAACCCGGATTGGTCTAAATTTTGTGAATCTATGGCTTTCTTCATCATCTAATTATGGACTTGAGCTAGAAATTTGGGGGTTTAGGGCTTGAGAATTTGGAGAGTAGATTTTGGGGATTTGGGTGACCAAATGAGTCCGATTTTGATAAATTTGGTGTGGTTAGACTCGTGAGCGAATGGGCTTTCGAGTTTTGTGACTTTTGTTGGATTTTGAGACGTGGGCCCGGAGGACGGGTTTGAGTCGATTTCGGATTTTGACTCTAATTTGGTAGTTTTCTTGTGGAATTGATCTCTTTAGCCTATATTGATTGTATTGTATTACTTGTGTCTAGATTCAGGACGTTTGGAGGCCGATTTGAGAGATAGCTGAGTTGTATACCTTACACTATTAAGATCTGTATTTTCTTTATTGCTTCGAGCTGTCTATTTAACTTGAAAGCATGCCTATGTTTCTGCACATTTATTTCTGTTATATCTGTTGCGGTTAAGTTCGTCACTACCTTTCAGTCCAAAGTTTGGACTTGTTACTTTTTGAGTTAGCGTACTCACGTTACTCCCTACACCTCGTGTGCAGATCCTGGTGTGAGCACCTAATTTTTTACCATACTTGAAATTTTCCATCACTTTTTAGTATGTAAATATATTTGAAGTTTATTCAACTATTTTAGCCTTTATTTCACTTTTTGGTAGGTTTATTTGATAATTAAAAAAATACAAAAAAGAGTTATATTTTTAAGAATATTAGTTTCATTTTTCATTTACAAAAGAAGAAAAGTTTCCAAAAAATAAAAAATAAAAAAAATAGTTTTATATAGTTTTGTACAATTTTTAAGTTAGAGGTTTGAGTGTAATAATTTTACCTTGGTTTTTATTTAGTTATTTAGTGGGAGTAGATTGTTTTGCTTATTTATTACAAGAAAAGAAAATACTACAAAAAAGTACCAATCACAATTAGCCAACTAGCAAGATTCCTCCCCATCCAACTTTGTAAGAGATTTTGCAAACGACACATATTCCCTTTTCTTGGAAAACACGCACACACAGTTAGACACCCTCATTCCTCATCCTCAATACAAATATTCCCTATATAACACACGAAAAGGGGGGGGGGGGGGGGTAAAGGGGAAGGGAATTAAGAGAGATAGAGACAGGAATAACGAGAGAAAGGCAGAAAACGGGTCTTCTTCTCAATATTCCTTTGTTTCCTCCCTTTTTCTTAACACCACAATCAGCCATTAAAACACCACAAAACACCATGTAAACGCCTCCATTGATGCTATGACCAACCAAAACCAACCAACTCTTTACCACCATCCTTTTCAGTTGAACTAGCCCCAAAATTATCCCAAACTTAGCTGAATATTTCAGCTGAATAAGTGCTGAAAAATAGCCTAATAACCCAACGAAAATAAGCCACAAACCCGTTGAAAACCAGTCCAAGCCCAGCTGAAAATCACCCTAAAACACCACCTGAAACACATTAAACCAACGAAGAAAAAATATCAACTCGAATACATCGACTTCCAGACCTCGTCGTATTTCGCCGCTGCTCGTTCTTCACCCTCGAACACGAGAATATAACACGTCGACCTAGGTTCCTGATGAGTTCGAGTCGAATCTGTTCACGGCCATCGAGTTCGCCAGTCCGAGGTTCTAATTGATAGCTCATCCATGGATTGTTGCTTTCCTTTAGAGCTTCATTTTATTGTATGCAGCAGAGAAAGAGAGTGCAGTAATAAAGGTCCAATTTTACTCTTTTGTACTTTGAATCTAATAGTATTATTCCATATGATTTTATACTCTGTTATTAATGTACTTCATGTTGTTGATTTGTTAATGATTTAAAATGTAGAGTTTAATCACCAGTGGCATGCTAAGAATATTTGTTTCAAAATAATATGAATATTTATCCATGATTCCTGATTCATCTTAGTTTTCTTTATCCTTTTAGTACTCACGTTTTTAGATTTCTGTTCTTTTTCAAAGATGGAATAATAAGACATAGGTCAAAAGCAATAGTTGGGCTATTATTTATTAACTTGCTTGGGTTGTGTAGTTAGGGCAGTGCATAATTTGGTAAATACCGAATTACCGTACCGAAATCGAAAATTTTGGTATTTGGTATACGGTATTTTGGTATTTGGTTTAAGTTTTTCAAAAAAAATGGTATTAGGTATGGTATTTGGTATTTTAAAATAAAAAATCGAAATACCGATACCGTACCGAAATATATATTATATTACACAAAACATATATTATCAATTATAATACAAATATAAAAAATCTAAATTTTACTTTCCTTTATTCTCTAAGTTCATCAATTAACTCTAAACAAGTAACAAGACATTTCTAATGATCAAATATTCTTTTATGTACAATTTTCTCTATTTGGATCGATATTTGTTAGTTTTAGACAAAAATTTTGTCAACAAACATTTTCGGTTTTGTATTTTTGAGTACTTTAATAAAGAATATTATAGTCTATGGCTCTATGCACTAGTTAGGTGTGACGGCCCAAAGGGGTCATCACCTGTTTTCTTTTTCATTCGGTGCTTCCGAGGCCTTGAAAATCTCATTTTTACTTACCTCTATTTGCGTGCGCAGTTCGGGCGCGTAGCCGGAAAGCTTAAATATGAATTTTGTGTAAAAATTGATGAATTTTGATATTAATACGAATAAAGTTGACTTTGGTCAACATTTTGAGTAAACAGACCCGGACCCGTGATTTGACGGTCCCGGAGGGTCCGTAGAAAAATATGAGACTCGGGCATATGCCCAGAGTCGAATTTCGAGGTCGAGGGCCCGAGAAATAAATTTTTGTGTGAAATTGTTTTTCAGAAATTAATATGAAAATTTGAAAAGGAAATTGATTAGAACGTGTTGGTATCGAGCCCGTATTTTGGTTCCGGCGTCCGGTACAGGTCTTATATGTGGTTTAAGCGCATTCTGTGAAATTTGGTTGAAATCGGACGTCATTTGACGTGTTTCAGACCTAAATATCTAAAAATGAAAGTGTATGAAGTTTGATGAAAAAGTGATGATTTTGAGGTTTAATTCATTGATTTTGATGATATTTTGGCGATTTGATCGCACGGTTGAGTTCGTAGGATGTTGTTGAGTTAGTGTGTGTGATTGTTTAGGAGCCCCGAGGGCTCGGGAGTGTTTTCGGAGGTGTTCGGGATGGTTTTGAACTTAGGAAGGCATCAGATTTTTCTACAATTTTTACACAGTGAAATCCTTCATCGCGATCGCAATACCCCCTTCGCGTTCGCATAGATTCTGAGTCCGCCTCCTTCGCGTTCGCATTTCAAGTACCACGATCGCGTAAGCCAAACCTTGGACTCCAGTATTATTCCTCTACGCGTTCGCATTAACAGACTCGCGTTCGCGTAGCTTTGTAAACCTTTTCTTCGCGTTCGCATCATAAATTACGCGTTCGCATAGACCAGACTTTGGACCCCAGAATTTTTCCTCTTCGCGTTCGCACTTCTCCACTCGCGAACGCGAATGTTGTCAATTTCTGCCCTTCGCGAACGCGACCCTACTGTCGCGAACGCGTAGGGTAATTTCACCCAACGATTTTTAAGTCATAAAAACGGAACAGTGTCGGGTTTTATTCAAAAAATACACGAACCCTTTCTTCTCCAAAGCTTCTAGGCGATTGTTAGGGCATTTCTTCATCAAAGCTTCTTGGGTAAGTATTGTTTAACTTGTCTCCTTCATTTTTCCATCATCATTTATCAAATTCCTAAGCTCAAATCATGTAATCTAGGGTTGAAATTGGGGAAAATGGGTAGAGTTAGAGCATTTCAATTTTCTTTGATTTAAACCTCGTTTTGGGGTCGGATTTGAAAACAAATTGTATATTCGGGCTCGTGGGGGAATGGGTGATATGGAATTGGTTCGAACCTCGTGTTTTGACCAAGCGGGCCCGAGGGTCAATTTTTGAAATTTTGGGAAGAAAGCTTAGAAAACTATATTTAGGCATTGGGTTTGATTTGTTTAGCTATTATTGATATTATAAAGTCGTTATTTCATAGATTTGATTGAGTTGGAGCCGAATTCGAGAGGTAAAGCTGTACTTGTGGATTGATTTAGCCGTGGAAGTTGAGGTAAGTGTTTGGTCTAACTTTGGCTTGAGGGAATAGGAGTAGAGTCTTATTTGTTAATTGCTATTTGTCGAGTACGGTGTATAGGCATGGTGACGAGTATCTATACACTGGTGTCGAGCATGACCGTGAGTCCTGAATTGCTATATTATCGAATTCTTAAATTGTTGTTTATGAGGACTTGGTTAGAATATT